TTAGCAAGTCCTTCTGACCCTGTTGGCCGGTACGGTTTGGTTGCAAATACTGCACCAACAATGAAGACTCCTCTGTAGATGGGCAACTTCTACAGAAGAGGGCCCACCTAAGACAGGGAAGGGGCCTCCCAAAGACGGGTAAGGGTTTACTCTTCTGAGATGATCTAAGACAGGAGGGTCTTCTGTTTATAAAAAATTTAGGGGGGAGATGTTGGGATTAACGAGTCTTGGCCTTCAGCTGGATGTTGGGACTAATGAGTCCTGGCCTTCAGCTGCTCTTCCCTCCTAGAACTTTCTAATTAAAGTCACTAGAAACTGTGCCTAGTTTAGAGGATCAGAGGATGGGATTATCACCTGTTGGCCATTGAATGCAGGGTATTTAAGCCTACATGATGTTAATAAAGGGGGCTTTCTGAACCAGCGTTTGAAGGTCCATGTGTCGGTCTGTCTCTGCGTGTGTATTCTCAACCTCCAGCCCCTTGCCTGAAGCTTGCGAACTGGGTTCTAGCACACAGAGCGCAGACACGGGGGCGCGGTGCGCGACATTATAGAAAGACCCTGTGCTGTAAAAAGGGCTTGGGAGAGACCTTGGTCTGCTCAGGGGCCTCAAGGTGGGTGAGAGCCAGAGGCCTGACGCCAGGCAGGAAACAAACACACCATGTAGGTACCTTAAACTTATTGGGAAAAGGGTAAAGGGGAGAGAAGAGGGGAAAAGAAATAGAGAGGAAGAGGAGGAAGAGGACCAGTCTGCCTCTTCAGAAGAGCTATGGGAAGAGGGTGGGACTGGGTGGAGCTTGTCTCTTAAAGGGATCTTTTGCACCTGAGTACATACTCAGTGACACAGCAGCCATAGGACCCTGGGTCGACCAGGGTACTGCCTGGATATATCTTGTCAAGTGAAAGAGGTCAGCTTAATGCCTAAATCATAACACCCTGTCTCAAAGACCAAACAAAATTTGTTTTAAATATTTCTTAATAATTATTTTTTTTACCTGGGGCCATCGCCATCACAGGTTCTCTTGGTGGCTTTTTGAACATAGAAGAGTGTCCCTGGCTGCACACATAGCTTAGAGCAGAACATGTGCTCAGCATACACAGAACCCTAGATTAAATCCCCAACAGCCAGCTCCAAAAAAGGCATCCCTACCTCCAGGCAAAGACAAAGAATGCCAGGGCTTAGCAGCCAAGGAAACAAACAGCCTCCCCGCAGCAGGGCAGTAACTATATTCCTGTCACTTCTTTGGCCCCAGAGCCAAATGCAACCAGTTCCACGGGAACGACAGATAATCTTAAGACTTCTCAGCTACTCAGGAACCTCAGTCACTGCCAAAGTGGAACCACTGGAGGGAGGTCACAATTTTTTTCCTTTTTTAAATAAAGATGATTACAACACATGCCCAATTAATTATCTTCCTAAATCCCAACAGCCAGGATACTTTGGGAAAGTGTGACGATCCTTAAGGACCACAGGAACTATTTTGGGCAGAAGTCTCTAAATTCCCCAAAGCTCCTCTAACCACACCAAGGCAGATGTGAGTGAGCAGACAAGCTCTTCATCAATGAGAGCAGAGCTGTTCTGCACGCCGGATTCCGGTTCACAAGCCTCCCCGTGGAGCTCAGGGAAGGGCACTAGCTTAGACGGGGTGAGCCCTGGGTTTGAAACCCAGCACTGCAGAGGGGTAGGTGATCAGACAGAGATGGCAGAATTAAGCAAGGGAGGCAGGAGACGGTGTAAAGTATTAGGATAACCGCAGACATGACTGACAACTACACACAACACTGATTCTAATAAAAACCTACCAGAGTCAAATCAACTCGTATGACACTCATAACCAGAATAACCTCAACTCTTTACAATACGAACATGCCCACTCTGTCAACTCAGATCACTCGGGGAAGACCTCAGGGAAAAACAATGCAAATAAGACCTGGTCAGAACATCTGAGGCACTGAAGCACAGAGCAGATGGCCTTGTCTCTGGTCTACAGAGTCTCCAGGACCACAGTGGGGTGTGTGACTTAATCGCCAGCTGCCCCAAGCAGCAAGCTTGACCTTGAGGCATTGTTTAATTACATTACAAAGGGCTAGTGGGCATAGGGACAGACAAGAAGCTCACAGTAAATAAAAATCACTTAAAGGAAAGCAAAGCAGCTGTAGGGGTCAAAGGCTTATGATAAATATGCAAAATTAAGAGACTGTGAAGTAAAAGGAAAGGGGAAGTCCCCATCTCAACAATGTGACTTTGGTTTTGTCTGGTTTGCTGAGGCAAAGTCTTGTTATATAACCCAGAAGGGACTTAAACTCAATATCTGCAGGCCTCAGCCTCCCAGTGCTGGGACTATGGGGGTGTACCGTTGTGCTTTGCTGACTTTGTGGTTAAAATGAAAATATTTTTCCCAGGTGAAATGACCCTTCCTTTCCTGTATGTACAAGTCAGGTTGTGTATATTCATCAATGCATTCAATACAAAAACATAACTGAAGCCAACTGCTTATGGCATGTTTCTGACTCTCTTTAATAACGTTAATATGCAATATTCATAAGAAATGTAAGTAACAAGATCCAGCTTCACTTTCATCTTTATAAGATGAAATGCGAGAGTTTTCTGGTTTCCAAGGCAGCTGAAAAAAAATTCTGTAAGCAATAAATATGCCCAAGGATATAATAGGTCCTACAGATACAGTATAAATAGCAATGGTTAGGATTGCAAGCAAACATTTAAAATTTTAAATCAAGAACTCACAGAGACTATACTTCAAAGCCTAGCTTTGACATTTAGTAGCCTGCTACTTCCTTCATTTAAAATAAACAAAAGGAAAAAAAAATTATCTTCAGGGATGTTATGAGGCCAAAAATAAATAATTTGTGTAACATAGCTATACAATATACTAAAAGGTACATAAAGAACACTTATTAAAAGGCCATTTACTTAAAAAGATTTGGTAATTTAAATAATCACATAAACATCACTTAATACCCACAAGTCTTTGGAAGCTGAGCAGCGAAGACCTGAAATTGAGACACAGGGAGAAGGAGATGCCAAACCGAGGTGGGAAAGACAGAAGCAAGACAAATATGGTCTGAATAATGGACTTCATCTATGAGTCTTAATATGAATAGCACTGCTCAAAAATGAAGGCAGTAGCTAAGTTAGCAGCCAGAACAGAGGACAAAGCAACTAGTCATTTAAAAGTCCGCATGACTCACAAGACTGTATACTCGGGACAGAATGACAGTTTTAGGATGGGGAACACATGAGAACTGGGGAAAACTATTCATTTTATGATGCACTTAGAAAAACAGATGAAGCTGGTTGGTGGTGGTGCAGAGTTTTAATCCCAGAGCTCAGGAGGCAGAGGCAGGCGGCTCCCTGTGAGTTTGAGGTCAGTCTGGTCTATAGAGCAAGTTCCAGGATAGTTAGTGCTGTTATACAGAGAAACCCTGTCTAGAAAAAACAAAAATAAAATAAAATAAAAACCCCACATTCTATTTGGTATCAGCTATCAGTATGTCCAGGGGCCTTGGGTCTAGATTCCTGACTTTATTGAGAGACTATGTGCTGGTTAGTTTTGCCGTCAGTGTGACACAATCTAGAGTCACCTGGGACAAAGAAACCTTAACCAAGGAACTGCCTGATCAGTTGACCGATGGCCATGGCCATGAGAAACCGTCTTGACTGAGGACTGACTGAAGTGGGCAAGGCGGGTAGTGGAGAAGGAGAGGGAGGGGCAGGCACAGGCTGGAGGTTTAAGGAGGGCTGTATGTCTTTAGCTAGAAGAACTGCCGGACTTGAGCCCTTAGTCGCACATATGTGAGGGATATTCGTAGTTGTTCTTTTTTCACTCTTTGTGGCCCCACCACCCAGCTCCCAATAAATCACATGGAGTCTTATTCTTTCTTATGAATGCCAAGCCTTAGATTGGCTTATTTATTGCCAGTTTTGCTAACTTAAATTATCCTGTCTACCTTCTGCCTCTGGGCTTTTTTTTACCTTTCTTTATTCTATGTGTCTTTCTTTCCTTCTTTCTCCATGGCTGCCTGTGTGTCCAGGTGACTCCTGGTCTTCTCCTCTCCTCCTTTTTCTTGCTCCTCCCTTCTCTTCTTTTTGTCTATTTATTCTCTCTGCCTGGCAGCCCCACCTATAACTCTCCTGCCCACCTACTGGCCATTCAGCTCTTTATTAGACCAATCAGGTGTTTTAGACAGGCAAAGCAACACAGTTCCGCAGAGTTAAACGGGACAATGTAAAGAACGCAACACATCGTCATATCATTTAAACAAATGTAACACATCTTAAACTAATATTCCACAACAGAAATTGGGGATATTGGGTATATCTTGCCAAAAAATAACAAAAACAGAGTAACATTACTAGCAGCAGACACACAATCTTGTAAAAACTTGAAAGACGAGAGTGTGTAAGAGGAAAATGAGCGTGTGGTCAGATACACACAGCTCTTCCCTAACAGGTCTGCTCAAGGTGACTGCAGTTTAAAAAGCTAGCAATGCTGTCTCAAGTGTCTCTGTTTCTGGGAACTATTTAGATTAAAGAAGACATGCCCCCAAAAGATACGACATCATTACGGGTGCTGGGGGTATAGTTTTGTGGGGGGAGAAGGAGAGAGGGAAGAGGAGGAGGGAAGAAGAGGAAGTGAGGCAGAAATGGGGCAAAAAGAGGAAAGTGAGGAGGAGGAAGCAGCAGCAGCAGCAGCTCTCATAGCTCATTTATTATGAAGAAATGGAAGGTGCTGAAGATTATTATTCGGAAATCATCTGGGTACATCTAGATGTAAATGAGATACAACTTATAAAATGTCTATTATATATAATTTATAAGCCTATAAGTATATAAAATCTTATTATAAATTTAAAATGTAACCAAGCACTAGAGAGCACAAAGGTATAATTTACTTGTTAGCTGCGCTAAGAACCTTTAGGGTAGGAAAAGGACAGGACTGGGGATAATCTTAGACTCGAGAAAAATATGAGCAGATACTTACAATATGCAAAAGCTTCAACACATCCACAAACCTGTTAAAAAAAAAAAAGAACCAATAAGATTTTTTAATAAGTCAACTGGGAAGAACAGCGTTTAAACTGCTAACTTGATACCTACACTTTCTCAGAGCTCATGATCTCCTTGGCAATATGATGGACTTTGCTTTTCATCCCAGTATCTTCATCCTGAAGACAAAGAGTGCATTGAGAAAGAATGAATTCACAAAATATGGCATCAGCTATGAGCTGGTTAGACATATATTTTAGCCCTGATCCTATGTTATCTATAAGAACACAATTCACACTTTGCAATATTTCAAAGGCAAATATGGGGAGGTAAATAAGATAATAAAACCATAATACAGAAGTAGCTGAGAGAAATCAGGAATTGGGTTAGGTGACACATGCCTTTCTTTCATTTTAGCCTTTAGAGTAGATAGATCGATCGATCGATCGATCGATCGATCGATCGATCTCTATGAGATTGAAGCCAACCGGGGCTACACAGTGAGTTCCAGGCCATCCAGGGCTACATATTGAGACCACTAATCAAGCAATTAACCAATCAATCAATCAAAGGTATCAAAGTTTCAACATGGAAATGCCATATTCTGCAAGGGAAACACCTATGAGTATCACGAGAAGCCAGTGAGAGGTCATGTATGTAAGTAATCCCAACACTCAGGAGACTTGAAGCAGGAAGACGGTAGGTTCTAGGCCTATTTCGACAATACTACAAGACTGGATAAAATACATAAATAAAAGTACTTTAGATAATGCATGACGAAGTGTTATGATGAACTAGTAATGTGATGTGTAAGTCAAATCACTCAAATTCTGAAAGTACAGTTAATCGGGGCTCTTCATGACAGTATATGTCTGGCATCATCCCAAGGACACCTTTTAATTATTTCTTGGTGGGAACATTAAATACCCCGGCAAGGACACAAACTATGCATGTCCAGGAACAGATGAAGATGACTTGGAAAGTACTTTTGACATTTAGACGAGTTTGTTGTTGTTTACAGGGAATAGACAGAAACATTTCCCTTTCTAGTCTCTGTGAGATCTGAAAACATAATTCCTCAGTGAAGAGGAATGAACAGTAAATAAGGAACAAGCAATCAGAACATTTACTTAAGGTGAAATGACAACTGGAACCAGGCTGAGGATATAACTTAGCAGTACGAGCTTATTCGGCATACACAAGGCCTTAGCCCCTAGCAGAGCACATATGTATGCACACATGAACACACACACACACACACACACACACAAATTAACATTAAAGAGCAATTTCCGCTACCATGAAAATGGAAAAGCTCCAATACTTCTGGAGAAAGGCGTCAGGCCCCATTCTGTAAAGATTTTTTTTTTCCATTCCTGTTGCTATGCTGTTTGCACTCTTTCCAGCATTGGCAGCACCAAGACAGTTACTTTGTTCTGCCTCAAGAGCTATTGGGCAAGGAAATGCATAAAAAGTCACCATGGCAATCCAGTAGTCATTCATTGACAGAACGCCACTTGGGGCGGGGTGGTGTATTAAAGCCACGGCTCTCAGGAGCAGCCTTCTCTACACTGAAGTGGTGCGCTATCCCGAAAGAACCACTTAGCACTGTGACAGTTCAAAGTATTATCTTCAGTCTTCATTTTATTTTGCTTTTCAATTTGTTTTGTTTCATTTCGAGACAGAGTTTTGCTGTAGCCCAGGCTGGCCTCAACTCACAGCCTTTGTACCTCAGCCTCCTGAGGTCAGGGATTGGAGGCACAGTCACATCTCGGTATGTTTACATCTATATGTTTATGTTCCTATCTCAGCCTCCTGAGGCTGGGAATTATAGGCACAGCCACACTTCAATGTGTCTAGATTTTGTTCTCAATGTTCTTCAACATGTTTGTTTGTTCAATATGAATTTTGTTTGTTTGTTACAGTGCTAAGGACTGATCTGAGAGGCACAGCACATGAATTTACTGTTGGAACTGTCAAGCTATGATACTGAGCATAAGGCAGGTTCAGTGAAAGACCATTCCCCCAAATAGGTGAACGGCAATTAAGGAAGGCATCTGAGATGTTGGGTCTCCACAGACAAATATACAAATGTACACACGGAAACACACACGCAAAAATGTATCACTTTCGACTTCAAGTAGTTACCTCGACACACCTTCCCAATATACACTGCTAAACACACACCCAATATAGTTAATTACTTCCCTATTGAGACCTGACAAACCCAACATCCTGCAAAATTTACATCGAAGCTTCATTTTGTCAAACAACTTGTGAAAAGTAACACTACCAGATTTGCTGTATGGCAGAGAATGGACTAAACTGGTCCTCTTGCCTTTATGTCCTGAGTGTTGGGATTACAGGCGGGTGTGAAGTCAGTCATTAATACAGGTTTGCCTGTATTTGTCCCTTCCATGTTTTCTTTTATCACAGAAAAGTTGGCATGCAATACCAAGAAACCTTTCTACTGATATAGACTGTTCTGCCAGAATATTCCAAGAAGGCTACAACCCAACTATTTATGAAAAGAATCTTAAATGGCAAATATGATGGCTAATTCTGCCTGTCAAAACACTTGAGAAGAAGGCACCTCAATGAAGACACTGCCTCCAAGTCTGTGATAATACCTGTGGAGCATTTCTTAGATTGCTGATTTGTGTAGAATTGTTCAGTCCACTGTGAGTGGTACTCTCCATGGACAGGTAATCCTTGGCAGTAGAAGAAGGATAGACAAATGTGAACCTGTGGCATTCCCTCGTGGTCTCTGCTTCAGTCCCTGACTCCAGGTTCCTACCTGGAATATCAGAGCTTTGGTCTCCCTCAATGATGGGCTATATTCCTTTCCTTTCCCACATTACTTTCGGTTATGTTATCTATCACAGCAACAGAAACCAGAACAACTGACTACTAATTCAGAGTACAGCCAAGGGTTGGTGGCATACGCCTTTAATCCTAGCTCTTGGGACGCAGAAGCCAGCCTGGTCTACGGAGCAAGTTCCAGGACAGCTCCAAAGCTACACAGAGAAATCCTGTCTTATAAAAAAAAAAAAACAAAAAAAACCAAAAAAAAACGTAGAGTACATAAAAATGTAGTCTAATTCCTAGCATGTTTTACCTTTCCTTTTCTCCGCTCTCAAACTCTATTGCTATGGGGTTTAACTTCTGCCCCCATTAGCATCCACTTTCCTAAAGTAGGTTCTTGAATAATTAAGACTAATGGGTTGCATAAGTTTTGTTCTACTTCAACCACCCACCTTCTAGGACAGAGACGAGGCTAACACTCCTCAGGAGGCACAATCTGACCTTGCAGACCACACCTCAGCCCTGCACTAATGGGAGGGGACTGCATATGTTTTTGCACACATGCACCCTTGGATAACCGATATTCTGAACACCTACTGAATCAATGCTTTTCTAATCTTATTATACATTGCTCCATACTACCTGTAACTATAAGATTAATGCTAATGAAGGACAGTATATATTTTTAAAATTAGAAATTCATTAAAGGCCTAGGAATATAGTTCAGTGATGCATAGAAAGTTCGAGACCCTTCATTTGATTCCTAGCACTGCTCCCAATCCTCCTCAGACCCTAACCCACATATAAAAACCCAAAAACCAAGAAGGTGTGGACTCAGCAGTAAAAAGCACCTGCTGGCCAGGCATAGAGGCACACACCTTTATCCCAGAAGGTAGGAGACTGAGCCAGGCAGATTTCTGTGAGTTTGCAGTCAGCCTAATCTACATAAGGAGTTCCAGGCCAAGAAGGGCTACAGAGAAAGACCCAGTCTGACACAAACAAACAACCAAACAACACTTGCTGTTCTTGGACAGAACCAGGATTTATTCTCAGTACCCACATGGCAGCACACAAGCATCTGTACGGCCATTTCCAGGAGATCCAGTGTCCTCACTGGTTTCATGGGCAGCAGGCAAAGCAGTCACCCACATAAAATAAATCTTTCTTCTAAGGTATAACTACTTTGGCACTTGCCTTTTCTTCCCTTTCCTCCTCTAAGTACTGTCCTAGCACTGGGGCTCTACTCTCTGCTCGAGCCTTGCTCTCCTGAGCCTAAATCAGTCAGAACTGTGTAGTGTGGGACCCTCCGTAATAGTGAAGATCCACCATCCCTAGGCAGACAGCATGTGTCTACTACAGTGAATGACAAGAGTACAGACTAGAGAACTTGTTTATCCATCATAACTCTAGAAAAGGACGAGTATCCGGAACACACACACACACACACACACACACACACACACACACACACCATAACTCTAGAAAAGGACTAGTATCCGGAACACACACACACACACCTCTGACGACTATAGGGCTCATCAGTTAAAGAGAACTTGGGCAAAAGACCCAAGTTCAGTTCCTGGCACCTACACAGTGACTCACGACCATCCATAACTACATTTCCAAGTGATCTAACGACCTCTTCAGGTACCAGGCAAGTATGTGGTATACAAAAATACACACGCAACAAGAATAAAGATTTTTTAAAAACCTCTGCAAACTCAAACAACTCAGAAATGAGAACAGACGTGAGCAGACATTTCACCAGCAGATAGAAGATTAGCCAGCAAGTATACGAAAATGCCCTGTCACAGCCATGTTAAAACTACAATGAGGTAGGACCTCACACCCACAGAAGAGCTATAATTAAATGCATCAATCAAGGCAGGCATAGTGGCACAAACTTGTAAGGTAGGAGGATCAGGAAATGGAGGCCAGCCAGGCTATATAACCAGATCCTATCCCAAAACAAACAAACAAAATACAAAGAATCAAGTGCCATCAGAACTCAGGAAGCTGAGGCAGAATGATCTTCAACTATAAGCCATCTTGACTATTGAGCGAGTCACTGTCTTGAAATATAAAGCCAAGGAGGCATTGGCAAGATGTGGAGCTACTGGTCCTTGTATACACTGCAGGTGGGGACGGTAGCCCTTATGTGTTCTGATTCAGGTTTCTGTAGTTGCCTAATGCCAGAGACTATTTACATTTCCATCTTTCTTTTAAACGTTTTAAGTTACATTTACTCTCTCTCTCTCTGAGTGTGTGTGTGTGTGTGTGTGTGTGTGTGAGAGAGAGAGAGAGAGAGAGAGAGAGAGAGAGAGAGAGAGAAACTGAAGGTCAGAGGGCAGCCAGGGCAGCCAGCAGGAGTTCA